CTTACATAAAACATAAATGAAATCTGCATAATTAAAAAGAGAAGGCAGACCATTAAAAATAAATTCTCAATTAAATTAATTTGTTTAATCCTATCAAAATAAAAAATTCCTATGGATTTTGGAACTTGTCAAAATTATTTGAAGGTACAAGTAATCAAGAATAGGCAAATAAGCAAATGAAGAAAATTAGTTGCGACAGGCATGTTTTACATTGACAGCTATTAAAACACAGCAAAATTTATAATATTTTTAAAATTTATTTTAATTAAAAGAAGCATTTTTTTTGAAACAGGGTCTCCTTGTAGCCCCAGCTGTCCTGGAACTCACTAGGTAGACCAGACTGTCCAAAAGTCACAGAGATCTTGCCTGTCTCTGCCTCCCAGGTGCTAGGATTAAAGGCATGCACCACCTCTCCTGGCTGTGAGTTGATCTTCTTTGAGAGTAATGCTGATAGGCTGGACAGGCTCCAGTGGATGAACTAACACTGAGGGGCATCTGGAGACACAAATTTGACTCAGTAGGCCTTAACATATATGGCAGAATGCATGAAATCCTGTGGGTGGGCTATGGTGGGGGGGGTACAGATAGGGGAGAGGTGTCTAAATATAATTAAGATGGATTGTATAAAATGCACAAAAATTCAATAAAAATATGCATTGAATGAAAAAGAAGAGGAGGAGGAGGAATGGGGAGGAGGAGGAAGAGAAGGAAGAATGGGGAGGAGGAGGAGGAAGAAGAGGAGGAAGAGGAAGAGGAGGAGGAATGGGGAGGAGGAGGAAGAGGAGGAGGAAGAGAGGAGGGGGGGAAGAAAGGATGTCATTTTCAGGAAAGTAGATGGAACTGAAAATTATCACATTAAATGAAATCAACCAAACTCAGAAGGACAAATGTTGTGTGTTTTTCTCATGTTTGGGATCTAGACATAACCATGAATAGACATATGGCAAGAAGGCAAAAGGAAGTGGGGAGAGGACCAGCGTGAGTGGAGAAGGGTGGAGGGTAATGAGGGCAAATGTGAGCTGACAACAGTGCTAAATGTGTGAAAACATCGTCATGAAACCCATTGTTTTGTACGTTAACAAAAATTAGTTTAAAAGCTGTTTGTTAAAGAAAGGCTCTCTGAAATTAAGCGAAAAAATAGGGCCTGGCAAAACGTTTGAGTTGATAGATTTCACATTTTAAAGGCAGGAAGTTGGTACTAAACATCCTTCATTGGCTCTGAGCTGTCTCAACATCAGTTAGTCCCTCAATATTTGTAGAAAATATTCCCCCAATTAAAAATATCACAAGGGCTGGAAAGCCGGCTCTGCAGGCGAAAGCACTTGCCACCAAGTCTGATGACCTGAAATCAATCTGTGGAATTCACGTAGTAAGAGAGGACTTATTCATAAAAGTTGGCCTATGACCTCCACATGTGTGCCAAGGCACATGCACACATGCCCCCCACACATACAC